TTGTAAACTGCGCATAGTCCCTGTAGGCCACACAGAGTGGATCAGTTATCAACCTAGACGACGCTCCATCGCCGATTGTAAATTACGTGAGAAGGCTGGTTTCTTCTCCGATACACCTTCCACAGTATGCCCATGACAGCGTGTCGAATTTGTCTCATCTTCCAGCAGTAAATGACAGGGTTCAAAGAGGAATTTAGATATACAAGAGTCAATGAGAAAAGGAGGAGTTTTTTCAAAGCGGATTTCAAGCCATAGATTCCAATAGCAGCCATGCAAATGAAAACAGGCAAATAACAAATTAAAAACACGATAAATACGAAGAATATTCCAATTGTTGTTTTAATGAGAACAGCAAAGTTTTTCATTTCATCGGACCGAGCTTCGTCTCGTATTTGCAAGGAGTGAATCAGATTCCTATGGTGTCGGACAGTTAAATATATCCTGATGTACACCAAAAATGTCAGAATGAAGATGAAAGACATAGAAAATAATTGAATAAGATAGTTATTACTGAATGGCACCCACAATATCATCAAAGAACAAAATGCACTAAACACCCATATGCCGATCACCACAATAACAACACGCTTGTGAGTGACAAGCTCTTGGTATCTGAGATGAAGATGAACAGCTAAGAACCTGTCTACACTTACAGCCACAACACCAAGGAACGAGACAGCTGAAAATAAAACACTCGAAATACTCCACATTTGCTGAGTGTTACAGCCAGGATTGTCCAGTTGTAGCCATTTGACCAAAAGGAAACTGTATAATGTTTGAGTAAACAAACCAACCGCGACATCAGAGCAGGCAAGACTCAGCAGCAGAGTTTTTAAAGTTTTTGCCATCGTCCAGGTTTTGCGTATGGCATAGATTGTCACAATATTCAAAATGATGGAGGTGTAAGTTAGACAAATGTTGAGGACACAGTTGGCGATAAAAGTGGATCGAAGATCTGCAAGTTCGGCGTATGTGGGGAGATATTGCAAAGAATCTTTACAAAATAATTCGTTCATGATATTAGCTCACGTATAAAAGATAGAAACCCCTATTTCAGATGAATAAAATGTGTTGTGATTCTTTAGCAGGACAGTTTCTTCTTAATCAGGGTAGTGATCATGCTGCGGAAAACGTTCCTTTTCTTCGCAAAAGTGATGATGGTCAATTGAAGGTATACCGTTATTATGATATCGGTTCTTAAGATGTAAGGCAATGATAATA